ACGCACCTAGAATCCCTCTACTATAAAAGCACGAGCAACCTACAGCTCTATAGTCTTTCCACAAAGTTCAACAACCCAGGACAAAAGTACCCATACACTTATTGTGCGATGGACTTCTCGCGCTTCCAGGCCATTGTGTCGGAGTTTAACTCTACTGGTAGCAATATCACCAGCGGCAGCATCCCGTCGACCGTTCTAGAGCTGTTTATTCCAGGCTACAGCACTATCGCGCATCTAACGTCCCGCTACCTTGGATTCGACATCGGAGTCTTTGTGACATTCTGGCTAGCCATATTGGGCTTTTACTATGGAGGCACATTTACCTACGACAAGATATGCTACTACTTCTACTTATATAATTCGGCATCCATCGCGATCGATGAGTCCGACGTACTGTTTGACCACGTCATGAGCTGGATAGCAGTGCAGCGCATGACGACGTCTAGTAGACATCTGACTGCAGCTACCCAGTGGGTTAGCGAAGTCGAAGACATAGGCGGTGACGACGACGTACTGGACGAACGTGGCATTTTCAACTACGAGAAATGGTCGGGCAATATACCGCCGATGTACCAACCTAATTATGGTCATTACGACTTCCGCCATGAAGGGCGATGGTTCAGTTTCGCGCGGGTCAAGAAGAAGGACGATAAAAAAATCACCGAGTTTGATGAGGAGATTATAATCACCTGTGTGGGTAGGGATGCGCTGCCTGTCAAGGAGCTCATCGTGTACATTAAGAGGTGGAGCCTTAACAAAGCCAACACGCTTACCACGATCTACCAAGCGCCTGGACAGAAGCACAGTGGGGAACGGTACTGGAAAGAGTCGTCCAGACGTCCATCGCGACCACTGAGTACCGTATCGCTGGACTTACAGCAGAAAGGCGCAATTGTTGGGGATATTAACGAGTATCTCAACCCCTCTACAGCGCGTTGGTATGCGGCACGTGGTATCCCACATCGCCGTGGCTATCTCTTTCATGGACCCCCGGGAACGGGTAAAACGTCGTTGTCGTTCGCTCTGGCTGGCATTTTTGGGTTGAACATATACTGTCTCTCGCTTAATGACGGAATTTCCGAGTCCGAGCTAAGTGCCCTGTTCAACGACCTTCCTAGCCGGTGCTTTCTTCTTCTTGAAGACATTGACGCTGCGGGTATTAGGCGTGAAGGTCTTCCGCCTCCGGTTGTGGCCATGGAGGATGTCACACCCATTGTTGACGCACCCAAAATCGAGATACAGGACACTCCGACAAGTGTCATATGGAAGGTGTTCAGCATTTTTGCGTGGCCTTTCAAGGTTGCCTTGCTATTTTTCGGCTATCTTCGCAAGCCTGTACCGCACGAAGAGCCGGCGAAAGAAGCCCCTGCTCCAATGTTGCCCAAAGATACCCCACAGGAAGAAGTCAAAGAGGAATTCAGTAACGCATCACCGTCATCATCGTCACGAAATGCAGCCTACACAGAAGCGTCAGGAGGAGCTCAAGGATCGATCAGTCTGAGCGGACTCCTCAACTGCATCGATGGCGCCGCTTCTCACGAGGGCCACGTGCTCATCATGACTACTAACACCCCAGAGAAGCTGGACGACGCCTTGACCCGACCAGGTCGCGTCGACATGCAGATTGGTTTTACGCTCGCCACGCGCGATCAGATTCGCGACACGTACATGCGCATGTTCAGCAACGATAACCCCACACCCAACGTTACCCAGGCACCCAAAGTCACAACGAAAAGCCATATACCTACACAGGGAGCAAAGAAAGACCGGCTCGGCGATATTGTTCTTCCTAAGAAGTCTATCGCGGCCGTCGTGGAGCCGGACAAGCTAGCGGAGATGGCACAGCAGTTTGCTGATGCATTACCGGAGAAGGTCTTCTCGCCGGCGGAAGTCCAGGGCTATCTGTTGATGCACAAGATGGATCCAGGTAAGGCGATAGAACAAGTGGGTAAGTGGAGAGAGGAGACGCTTGAGGCGAAGAAGAAGGCGAGCAATGTTGTTGCTGCTTGAAGCGAGGTTGAAACTGAGGATACAACCACGAATGATTTCCTGGTATCGTCCACGAACGGCCGAGGTTATTCCCAGTAGCAACGCCCATATGTGGCAAATGTAAACCAGTGATGAATGTCTTCAGCAAACCTGCCAACAGTTTCATGTGTACTGTGTTGCAGCTTGTACATGGCGATATCTGCAATACAATCTTCTACCCTCCACAGAACGGGTAGCTGCATGTAAGCAGCACCTGAACGTGGCTATGTGTTATGATCCGATGAGATAGGCCGTAATGCGATCGTAAGATTCGGTCGACGTGTTGCTGAGCAACGCTGCGATGTATCGAGAGGCAGGATCGTTGGGAAGCGGACATCGTGTCCTAAAGGTACGTTTGCGGGTATCGGGCGTTGCGGACTTCAGCGTAGGCGTGTAGTGCCAGCGGCTTGACAGAGTGCTCAGTGTGATCTTGTCTTAGCTGGACATGTGTATGTGACGTTCCCAGATTGACTATGGCCATGACACCGGGTCGGTACATCTTTTCTGGCCAAGGGGAATTGGGGCATGGCTGGTTGCAACGACCAAAAACTGAAGAGTTCCTTCCAACAACACTGTGGGAGCAGCAACAGAGGCTCGATCGCTCCCTGTTACACACCGTTCATCAGACTTGCTCGTGGTGCGTCATTCGCAGTCCTGTACAGTTACGCAAACCCACCTTTGCGTTGCGCAAAACAATTTGGTGGCTTGCATTATCCCTGGCAGAGGGATCTCGATGCAGCAGCGTCATGCACCTTGCTCATGTCCCTAATCCCAGTAAATGTGCGGTTATGTCATGTCTGAGTGGCTTTCTGGCCTCAAGACCCAGCGGCTATGTCATGCCGTAAGTGGGTACGGCGCTGCGGCTGCTCTGGCGAAGCGGGAACCTCGCCTGATGACGAGGTCTGTTAAGGGCATTAAATGTGGTGGTGTGTTTGTCGATCGTTTTCGATGCCGATCTATTTCGAGAACGACTGTCCTGCCACCGTTTTCAAAAATAAGCGACATGACATCACATCTGAACAACGGGGGGTGGTCAGCGCTGTATTGACGGGTAGGAGTCTCGAAGAATCCTAAGGCAATATTGAACAGGCTCGAGCTGAGTTCCCGAAGTGACAGTTGCTGTAGCAGCGAGCTGGAAGGGAAGGCTTCTTGCGTCACTCGCATGCCCTTGACTCGTTCAGAGCTAAGCTCGACGCGAAACATCAGTCAGTGCCGATGACGATGAACTCGGCACATGTTCCGGATTGACGTTACTTCCCGGGACAGTTCCACTGGAGGTTTGGCATCCATGGTGATGCAAGCCGCAACTCCACGAGCGGCATCATAGCCCACAAAACGCGCAAACAGCCGCACCTCCCTGTGTTGTCGTGAAAACGTAGCGAGCAGCATCATGGGGCTCTAGCTAGGAAGCGTTGTGGGGTGGTCAAACCCGTCAACGTGGATGCAGATCTGCGGGTTGACATGACGTCCATTAGGCGCGGTTGTAAGAGGGCTAGAGCCGTCAAAGGGAGGTGGTTCCGATCCTCATACGGAGTCGCGATGTGTTGTGCGCGCTCGGTCTCAGAGCGATGATGCGAATGGGAAAATTGAGATGCGAATCTGGCAGGAAGGGTCTAGACGCAGGGTAGCGGCATCGGGAATTCGGCCAGGGGATCGAACATACTCGAAAATAAAGAACCACATCTTCGATTCGAACATGTCAAATAGGCAGCCGCTTCTAATTTGACAGGCAGATAATGCAGCGTGAAGATCATCTTTCGTGGGTCGCAACTTCTGTCATTTGCTTAGATTAATTGCACATTTTCGATTGGAGGGCAGGGTGATGATCACAAGGCTGGACATCTGGCCTCTGAAGATTCTGCGTGGATCTCCCCTCGTGGTCGTTCCAGCCTTGGGCGTACGAAGCCCAGAATACACAACCATACCCAGAGAGTTGCCAGCCTCGGTATCCTAGCAGTACGGCGCGCTCCAAGATGCCCAAGGCGGCAGCGTAATGAAGACATCGTGACCGGGCGGTACCTGCGTCGTTGGTGGCCGGGGCGGTTGGTAAAGACCCTGCATGACGATGGCAGTGGCTGAGATGAAGCCGTCACACGGACAAACGTCAGAAGTGACGATGTTGCGCCAGAACATGTTGCGCTGAGCGGTTGGGTGGGGGCTATGAACGCAACGGGTATGCGGTAGCGCGAGACCCTGCTTTTGCGAGCCCTCCGCTAGACCCGCTTATACATAGCCCATGCAGGAGCGCCGGGCCGATCTCTGCCGTACTAGGATAAGATGACGTTCTCTGGTGCACGGAAACTTTGGGGCGCTGGAGCTTGGAGGGATCTTCCACTTTGCTGGGCTGCAGCCCTTGTGGAATGCGAGTTTCGAAGTTGAGCGAAGGAGGAGGTGTGACGTCGCTGGGCGGACTCGGTGCTCCACGAAGCGTGCAGACAGCCGTGCCGCTGGAATGTTGACATAGCTTTTGCGTCATGGCAGCTGGGTGAGCCTCACGGTGAGTCCGAAGTCGATAGCCTACTATGGGGAAAATAGCAAGCAACATGCGAAATCAACAGTTGCCGCTCGGCGGCTCTCAGACAGGACGCTGGGCATGTGCTGCCATGTACCGCCTGACCCTCAAGTCGCGACACCAGTCAACAGACGCGGTACGCCTATCCTCCGCTGTCAATGGCCAGCCAGCCCTGCTGCTAGAAAGTCCCCTAAACAGTTGTCCCAGCACCCCCGTCATTGCCGACATCATCAGCAAGCCCGGAAGTCGTGATGCCCAGGTACCAGACCCACCGCAAACGGGGATGTGAGTATCGGAAGCCGGTGATTGGTGGACGAGGCCACTACAGCCCAACATAGAAGGACCCTGTAGATCTCTGATTGCAAGCCTCGAAGCTGGCGGCCCACTAGCGCGCTGGTCATGGTGGATCACTTCTTTGAGCCGACAGTCATGGGCCGATCTCTTGCCTTGCGCAGTCATTATGGGCCAAGTCGTTCCGTCCGCCTCTGTTGTGCGTGCGTTGTGAGACGCAGGAGGGTATATAGTTCGCACCCCGCTTGCTGATTCTCTAGATCCCATCAACAGCACCCAGCTCATCGATTCACATACAAATCCTCGATCTCCAGCACACCCTCCGCACACATCTTATCTTACTTAAGCCTCTACTATCCTACCTCTATCACAACTTCAACTACACATCTACAACAATGTCTGCCATGACTGAGAACCGCCAACAAGTCTACGTCTCCGACGGCTTCTCGGAGCCCATGAGCGCTCAGCACAACTTTGCCAACAACTTCGACCTCAACGACCCCGACCGGGCCATGACCGACTACCAGAGGTATGTTGTTACTCTTGTACATGACTCGTATCAGTCATTAACAATACCAGGATCATGCACGAGCACACTAAGCGCCAGCTCACCACTGCCACCGACTCTGCTCGTCGACGAAGCGGCGCATCGTCTTCCGACTCTGTCAGCTCCGCCAGCTCATAACAATCATTTTGATTGTACATTGCACAACCATCTTCATTTCAAGCGTCTGAGACGCTATTTGTATTAGCGATGCATGGTTAAAGATCACGCTTTGATCTGACTTTATTTACGAGAGAGCCTGGCGTTTGGGAGTCTACATATGGCTTTCGCCAATGGCATGCACGGCACGGTGTTGGATCGATTCAACGATATCCTCTTTGTCTCAATCAATTCAACGTCTCTATCAGGAGATTCAAATCATCATTTACAATCACCCATTTTAGTGACATGTTCTTCCTACGTAATATTGGTGCCTCTTAGTTTCTGTGGTGGTCGTTCAACCTCCTTTCAACCTGTACCCGTGGCAACGTTGACGCGTGGACTTTGACCCTGGACGTCCTCGGTTCGACGCATTGACCTTGACGCCTCTCATCACGCAATTCCAAGGTTTCACCGGCCACCAACTTTCTCATGCTAGCCATTAAGCCACGATACTCCCTACTTCTGCAGCATGCACCTTCGTACATGCAGACGACTATAGGGTCTTGCCGTCTCGCTTGGTCACAGTTCACCGTGGTTGCAGCGGCTACTGCATGTCGAAACGGCTCGTGCGACCACCAATTATTCTCACTAGCCCCGGCCAGGACCCTGATTTATCAAAATGCACTAGTATCTTGCAGGATCTCGTCCAGAATCCCGTGATGCGGAAAGAAAAGCCGATGTAGTCCCGTTGAGGGCCAGGGAATTGCATGGTGCGAAGCTTGAATCTTGGAAGGAAGATGCAGGTGGGGCTGAAGGACCGAAAAGACACCCAGACTGTGGTAATGGGGTGTGGTTTCAGGGGAGTGCGAGCAAGATTTACATCACAGCCATCTGATGTAAGCAACACCGTACTACATGTCTTGTTTACAAAGGCGCAATGTGAGTAGAGTACCTAGGTAATGACAAGGCCTTTCGATCCGCTACTCGTTGTACAACCAGGAATTCCACATCCAGCTTCCTTGCGATCAATTTCGGAGACACCACCAGAGGCGCCGTTGACCAGGTCTTATAGCATGTTCAAGCTCTAGACAAAATTGTAAGAGAAGGCGGTTGCAAGCCGTTTTCAGGTTTGTTCCCTGCAATAGTATGCACACGTGTTTGTGCTTCCAGCGCGACCCTTCCCAGGTCGAGCTCTGCACCCTGGATAACCACGCTGCTTTGATGCTGACGTGTCTCGGACTACCAAATTATCTGCAGACATAAGAAGAACAACTACAATGCTCATTTGCGAAATATCAGCAGAAAATACTGCGGTACCTAGTATTCCACGCAGCGACCAATAAGCCAACGCCATAGCGCAACAAAAGCTTCGATCATACAGCCACCGAGCCGATATCGTAAATACTCCGAAGTTCTTCTGCCGACGAAGACTCGCGAGAAGAAGAATGGCGAGTAATTGTTGTTCTTGCTGCACGTGTCGCCATGCAACGAGGCCTCCAGAAGCAAGCCATACTGCCACGGGCCGAGCAGCTTGCCCGGATTGGCCGGATGTCCACGGCTGTCCCCACCAGTGACATCGTTGACAAGCTTCAATGCGATCTCTCATCAACCGTCAATTGTCACCCTTCAATCGCTTCGTTGAAGTCGCGCTTCGTCCATAAAGCTTCTGCATTGCTTGCTTTAATTTCCTGTTCGCTCTGCATCTTCCGTGTCGCGTCGCCTTCGTCATGCGCTCCTTCGCTCTTACCGCCAGTCTGGCCGCGCTCTGCAGCGCAGCACCATATGGGCAGCAGACGCCACTCAAGAACATACTCGAGAACACAGACAAGAGCGATAAATACACGTACCCAACGGATTTTACGAGGGAGATTATCCCCAAGCCGTTCCACAGCCATAATGATTACTGGCGCGATGTGCCGTTCTATTCGGGTCTGAGCCAGGGTGCTATATCGACAGAAGCTGATGTGTGGCTTCTGAATGGCACGCTCTACGTAAGCTACGCGTCGCGAATTCATCCGATACCGCTAATGAATGATAGGTCGGCCATGAGCCTGCTGCCCTTACCGACAAGCGCACTCTTCAGTCTCTCTATCTGGAGCCAATTCTCGACACTCTGCATCGCCTGAACCCGAAGACTCGATTCGTGCAGCCAGGCGAGCAGAATGGTGTATTCGACACCTCTAGCGGACAGACTCTTTACTTCTTCATCGACTTGAAGACTGCCGCCGATGAGACCTGGCCCGCTGTTCTTGAAGCCTTAGAGCCTCTGCGAAGCGGCGACTGGTTGACAACTTACGACGGAACCAATCTGCGCAAGAATCCCGTTACCGTCATTGGAACTGGAAACACCCAGCTTTCGGACGTTCTTGCGTCGTCTCCACGTGACGTCTTCTTTGACGCGCCACTTGCTGATCTCAACGACTCCAAATATGCCGACCTCACCGCAAACGAGTCACCAATTGCGTCCACAAACTTTGCGTCGTCCTTTGGCGAAGTGCGCAAGCGGGAGTTCAACGATACGCAGCTGGAGACGCTGAGGAGCCAGCTTGACATGGCACATGAGAAGGGCATCATGGCCAGGTATTGGAACCAGCCGGCGTACCCGATCGGTACGAGAAACGCGGTTTGGCGTATTCTCTGGGACGAGGGCGTCGATCTGCTCAACGTGGATGATCTTGCGGCGGCGGCTGCCTTCTGGGAGGGCACTGGTTAATGAACTAGATGTATCTGGGCTACACAAAGCTATATGCACATCAAAGTACATAGGTATATAAGTAATGATCAAGGCCATCCAATGATGAATTCATGAAAATAAGCAATTGCTCGCAATGGTTCGTCGCGTGAGGCACACGTTCGCAGCTCGCTTAGTGCGGCTCTTTCTGGTTCCTGCAGAAGCTCATCCCTGTAACCCCGGATTACGTACTCGCCCGAGATTTTCCACATGCCAGTCATCTCAGCAATTGCGTTCTAGATCCCATCTCATATTCTTTGTCCTCATCAGAGACTACCCGGCAGACATCCTCACCACCGTCTTTCCACATATATCCGTCACCTACGTACGCGGCTGTGCCGGGACTCGCTTGCATAGCTATAGCCGGCCGCTCTTTGTTCAGAGAAACGTTCACGTCGCGTTTCATCGCTAGGGAAGGGACCTGCAAGCTTGCGAGCATCTGTCATCAATAGTAAAGTCGCAAGGACTTTGGGCCAGCTCCTCCGACTTTTGAGAGCTGCTCCAAAATTGTGCGACTGAGAAAGAGCTAGGAATTCGGTGGTTACGTCATAGCGAAGATGTTTCCTCCATCGCAAGGCTTGCGATTGGACATTGATGCCATCAGTCAGATATTTGGTTCAATAAGCATCGCATGCTGGATAGGTACGTGGGATACAGCTTCTCGTACTGCTTCGTGCTGTGCAACGCGCTTGCCTTGTGTTGCTTTTGCATGGCTGTTACCTCGGCACGCCGGAGCTAACGTGTGCGACAGTTGTTTTCTCACCTCAGATTATCGAGAATTGGAAGAGGGGCTCAGCAGAAGGCCTTTCAGTAGTCTTCATCGTAGTATGGCTACTCGGCGACTTCTTCAATATCATAGGCGCGGTACTGCAAGGTGTCCTGCCAACGATGACCATATTGGCGGTGTATTACACTCTAGCCGACATCGTGCTGCTGCTACAGTGCTTCTACTACAAGGGCTTTACGTTGCGCGATGAGTATAAGAAACCCGCCGATGAGTCCGACACGGATAGCGAAGTTAGTGAGCAGTCACCGCTTCTACCTCATCGCAGACCCCAGTCGAGCGGCTCACCCTACACAAACGGCAACGGCCATGGAATCGAAGTCCAGAGACCGCGCATTTCGGATATCGATCGCCGTGGCTCAGGCCATTCCCAAGGGTCATTCCGTGAGCGCTATCTCTCCATTGACGGCACCCATCTCTCGCCTGTCACACCGCTCCACGATGACTCAACTGCTGGACATCAAAATGGCGCGGTCGCAGCCAGACCCCATCCAGCCCAGTCCAGCCTGCAAACGATCCTCTTCAATCTTGGAACCATAGTTCTTGTATGCGCGGCCGGTGTTTTCGGCTGGTACCTTAGCGCACGAAACTCCACCGCTCCCGGCCAGCCCGATGACCAGGACTCATCACCCGAATCAACCCTACACTTCAACCTCTGGGGCCAGGTCTCCGGTTACGTTTGTGCCGCACTTTACCTCGGTTCGCGCGTCCCGCAGCTCCTGCTCAACTACCGCCGCAAGTCTACCGAAGGCATCAGCATGTTGTTCTTTCTGTTTGCTTGCCTGGGTAACCTGACGTACGTTCTGAGTATCCTGGTATACAAGCCCAAGTGCGGGGGCCACGTCTGCCAGGATGGTGAGGGACGTGCTGAATACGGCAAATACATTGCAGTTAATATGAGCTGGTTGTTGGGCAGCTTTGGAACATTGTTGTTGGATGCCGGGGTGTTTGTGCAGTACTTCTTGTATAGGGTGGACGATGATGAGAGCGATGAAGAAGAGTAGGCAGGCTATATGTTGGGTTCCAAAAGTGTATTACCATGAGCGTTTTGGTTCGGGCATGACGACTGATCATGCGGGCAGCAGTGCATAGCCACGAGATTGTATATTATACATAGCGGCGTCTGTGTTAGGACAGCTGATTCCTTCCGTAGGAGTTTAATCGGTGCCTGGAGTTGCTGAATGCTTAGTAGTCTCGACTTCCGACATCAAGAGGCGGGATCCGCCCGCCTTCGTTTGTAGGCGACTGGCTACGTGCCACGCGCACCCGACGCCTTGGGCTGGAATACGTGCGTTTGTTAGAATGCAAGAGTCATTTCAAATCAGAATGCAATAGAGGTTCGAGCATCTCATCACCTTCCACTCCTCTTCATCAGTATCTCGATACAACATTATCTTTCTCTCTATCTTACGGCGTGACAGGCACCCACCGAAACTGGCCAACACAACCATCATGCCCACTAACAAGCATTTAAAAAGTTCGTTGAGTTCTTTCTCCCATATACAACAGAACTCTCTACTAATA